AACCGGGGAGTCCCGAATTACCGTTGGTATTTATATCATCAAATTCTTTTAGGTCTCGACCAGACCCTAGAAAATCCTTGGATAGCTTCTTCAATTTCGCGATAAAGAGAAATATGTCCAACAGTAGTTCGAATATATAAAAAATGAGTTTCTTTTCTTATACTTCGGACTATTAGATAGTGTCCATAAATCTCATAATAAGTCCCTTGAGATTCGTAATGAATTTCTATTAGAGTTTCTCTTGAAGTAATGGCGCGTTGATCGAGTCTCCATCGGAGCCACAAAGGACTATCTAAATTTATTTGTTTTTTCCGATAAGCTCCAATTGCATCATAGGAATTACAAAAAAAGGGTTCATTTTTATACTTATAATAATAATTATGATTGTCACTGCTTCTACTTGGAAAGTTTCGTGTATTACATTCAGTTGCCCTATTAAGACAAATACCTCGACGATTCTCATTCGTTAATACATAAAGTCCAATAACCATATCTTGGGTTGGTACGGAAATGGGATCCCCAATAGCCGGAGATAAAAGATTCATATGAGAAAACATAAGTAAACGGGCTTCGGCTTGAGCCTCCAACGATAAAGGTACATGAACAGCCATTTGATCTCCATCAAAATCTGCATTGAACCCCTTACAAACTAAGGGGTGTAAAAAAATAGCACGCCCCTCCACTAAAATGGGTTGAAATGCCTGTATGCCTAATCTATGGAGAGTGGGCGCTCTATTCAGCAATACAGGATGCCCCTGCACAACTTCTTGAAGTATTTCCCATACAAGTGATTCTTTTTGTCGAATTTGCCTTTTTGCAACCCCTATATTCGAGGCAAGATGTTTTCTTATTAGATCCCGAATGACAAAAGGCTGGAAAAGTTCGATTGCTATTTCACGCGGCAAGCCACATTGATGTAATGAAAGCGATGGGGCCAACGACAATCACAGAACGTCCTGAATAATCAACTCGTTTACCAAGCAGAGTTTCACGGAATCTTCCCTCTTTGCCTTCAATTATATCTGAAAATGACTTGTAAACTTTATTATGCCCATCCCTCATTGGTTGCCCGCGGATTCCATTATCAAGAAGTGTATCCACAGCCTCTTGTACTAAATTCTCCTGGCATATTATTAATTCGCCTGGCGTAGATTTACTTGTTTTTAATAGATTGGTAAGCGTATTATTCCTATAGATAACTCTTCGATAGAGTTCATTAATGTCTGAACTCATAAGTTTTCCCCCATCTATCTGAATAATAGGTCTCAACTCAGGAGGAATTACTGGTAATAGACATAAAACCATCCATTCTGGTTCTATATTTGTTCGAATAAAATGTTTAGCTAAGTCCATCCGTCTAACCAAAAAAGCCTTTCGTCTTGTAGCTTTTTGATCTTCCCATTCATTCCCTGTGCGCTTTTTTTCCCCCAAATCTTTCCATTCTAGTAATGAATTTTCGGCAATCATTCGTAAATCTAGATCGGCTAATTGTTCTCGGACAGCACAGGCCCCCATAGAAATTTCTCGATTTCGAAATGTATTGAAACCTTTAGTAGTGAAGAAAAGTGGAATGCTATATTTCCACGATTGGATTTCATATTTGAATAAACCCCGTAATCGTAAGAAAGTGGGTTTTTTAGTTATGGGCCTAGCAAAAGAAAAATTGGGATAGGATTCAATAGGAGTTCCCCCCTTCAAAATCGGACGTGAATGTTTCCTTTCATCCGGCTCAAGTAGGTACATGAAGTAGACAATAAAGAAGAAAAGAAACACAAGTATCTCTTCGTTTCAAATTATTGACAACCCCAAATGAAAAAGATAAAAAGTTCTACTCCTTACTCAAGTTTCCATTGATGGTAAAGCAATATAGAACCCGTACTATTTCATTTCTGATTTAGATTTCATTGAGTCTTATTCTAATTCGGGAATTATTTAAGTTCAATTATAACATAAATATAAATGAAATGCAAAATTTTTGAGTAGTCTCCTTCCCCTCAAAGAATGAATCCACTACGTCTTAATAAGGAACCGCCATATTAGTAAAGTAGTAACTTGTAATTTAGAAGGGATTTACTTGTCTCTAGATTGTTCCATTTGATCTTTTAGGCCCCACTATATATACCTCGATGGTTAGGCGGACGCTAAGCTAAGCCCTTTTTACTAAAGCCTATATGCGATAAATAAACTCCTATAACCATGCCCTATTTGCTTACTTGAATTTCTAAATGAGAGGAAATAGGAAATTTTAAGGTTCATTCAACAAAACAAAAACTTTTTTTTTTACGAGGTACAAAGAAAAAACCCTATTTATTTGATTTGTAATGAAATGGACCATAGATCAACTCCCTTTTTCTTTTGTGGGAGTGTAATTACTACATCCCAATTCTGAGCTTCATGTTTTGCTTTCCAATTAACATGTCAGGTCTAGGGCATCCCAATTGGATTAACTGGGATGACAGTTTCTTGTTCTGAATCTGTAAAATCAAAATTTCGATCAAATCACACATCGCCATATACTAAGCCCTCTAACTCTTGAAGAGGTTTATCTAAAATATTCGCAATATAACTAGGAACACGTTTTAAATACCACACATGAGTTACTGGGCAAGCTAGTTTGATATAGCCCATTTGATACCTTCGGATCCGCGAATCCACAAATTCAACTCCGCATTGTTCACAAAATTTGGGTTTATCTTTTTTATCTATGATTACTTGAGAATTTCCACACGCGCAAATTCCACTTTTGATAGGCCCAAATATTCTTTCACAAAATAATCCATCTTTTTTCTGGTTTATTTGTTTTATAAAGAAAAGTATAAGGTTTTGTTACCTCGCCAACTATTTCACCATTTGGCAAAAGTTTACTGGCCCAAGCACTTATTTGTTGAGGAGAAACCAATCCAATTCGTAGCTGTTGATGTTTATATCGATCAATCATAAAAGAAAAATTTTTATTTGTTCGGATTAAATTAAGCTTCCTTCCTATGAATCTGGAAGTTCTTTTCAGATACCAGGATATAATTAAGTTCCAGAGCTAAAGATCGTAGTTCTCGAACAAGCAATCTAAAAGATTCTGGAGCATTTTTTGGATGAGGTATTGTACCTCCAAGGATCGTAGTACCAAGTACTTGCTGACGAGCTCTAATATGATCCGATTTATAAGTAAGCATCTCGTGTAAAATATGAGCAACTCCAAATCCTTCGAGAGCCCAAACCTCCATTTCCCCTACCCGTTGCCCCCCCTGTTTGGCTCTTCCTCTAAGGGGTTGTTGTGTAACAAGCGCATAATGTCCACTGGAACGCCCATGCAGTTTATCATCAACTTGATGAATTAATTTCAAGATATAAGCCTTACCTATTAGGATAGGTTGTTCAAAAGGATTACCCGTTCTTCCATCAAATATTCTACTTTTTCCTGGGTACTCGGGTTCAAATGCCCATGGATGCGCTGTTTTTTTACCTGGCTTCATGTAATTGAGAAAATACGATTTTTCTCGAAGCTTCTTGTTCGTATCTCTCATCAAAAGGTGCGATTCTATAATGTCTATTTAGCAAACTCCCTGCTAGCCCCAGTGAACATTCGAAAATCTGTCCTACATTCATTCTTGAAGGTACTCCTAATGGGTTAAATACCAGATCAACTGCTCTTCCATCTTGTAAATAGGGCATATCTTGTCTAGACAAAATTTTTGAAATGATACCCTTATTTCCGTGCCTTCCAGCTATTTTATCGCCCACTTTTATTTCACGTTTCTGTAAAACATATACCTGAATCTTTTCCGGATTAGAATTGTAAACCCCTTTCTTCTGTATCCACCTTACATCAATAACCCGACCCCTCCCACCTATAGGGACTTTGAGACAAGTTTCTTTTGACGTAGATACCTGAATACCAAGTATGGCTCGTAATAATCTATCTTCCGGTGCATACGACGATTCTTTCACCACGTGAGGTGTTAATTTACCTACTAAAACATCCCCCGGCTGTACCCAAGATCCCTGCATTATAATTCCATTTATATCTAAATTGCGAATTAAATGGGCTTCTAAATGAGGTATCTCTTTAGTGACTTGTTCAGGGCCTTGGCTTGTCACATGAGTTTGAATTTCAAATTTCCTTATGTGTAAAGAAGTATAAATCTCTTCATATACCAAGCGTTCGCTAATGAGCACTGCATCCTCAAAATTATAACCCTCCCACGGCATATAAGCTACCAATAAAGTTTTCCCGAGAGCAAGTTCGCCTTCAACCGTAGCGGCACCTTCCGCTAAAACTTGTCCTTTTTTAATAAATTGACCCGGTTGAACCTGAGGTTTTTGATGCATACAAGTATTTTTGTTTGAACGTTGATGCACAACTAATGGAATGCTTAGAGTCTTTCCAAGGCCAGAAACCCATACAAATATATTTTCAGTATCCGTATAAACAACCTTTCCCGTGTGGGCGGCTATAACAAGAGACCCTGAATCGAGAGCTGCGTGGTGTTCTATCCCTGTTCCAACAATGCATTTCTCGGATCGAGTAAGGGGAACTGCTTGCCGTTGCATATTAGAACTCATTAAGGCTCGATTCGCATCATTATGTTCGATAAAAGGAATGAGGGAAGCTCCAATAGAAAAATATTGGAAGGAAAAAATACTTCGAAGATGAACTTGCTCCCATGCAATAGTAAGGAATTCTTGACAGTATCTAGCTGGAACAACCTGATCTTCTTGAATATTCTGATTCAAGGCCAAAGAATTTCCTGCCGCTACCATATAGTATTCATCTCTACCCGGTGATAAGTAAAGCATCCGTACCCTTGTTGACCGCTCAGAAATTTCAAAAAGTGGACTTTCTAGAGATCCCCAACGTCCAATCCTCGCATGGATTGCTAAGGATCCAATAAGCCCAACATTGATTCCTTCTGATGTGTCAATAGGGCAAATACGCCCATAGTGGCTAGGGTGAATATCTCGGATCCGAAAACTAGCAGTGCGTCCTGTCAGCCCCCCAGGTCCTAAATAACTAAATTTTCTTGCATGAACTATTTGTGTCAATGGATTGGTTTGATCTAAAACTTGAGATAATGGGTGTAACCCGAAAAAAGATTCATACGTAGTTGTTAAGGGAGTTGAAGTTACCAAATTCTGAGGAGTGGGTATTAATTTATGACGAATTGCTCCACATATAGTGCTTTTAACGACATTTTCGAAACGAACGAGAGCCAATCCAAATTGATCTTGTAAAAGATCCGCTACAGACCTAATACGTTTATTTTGCAAATGATTCATATCATCAAGTGTACCCATTCCAAATTTGAGTGCAATCAAATGATCGGCGGCTGCTAATATATCTCGTGGTACCAAAAAAGTATTATTCTGGGGTATATCAAGATTAAGTCTTCGGTTCATATTTCGTCGACCAAGCTGTCCTAATTCACATCTTTGGTGAAAAAATTTTTTTTTGTAATTCCTTACATAAGTATTCATACACTAATAGATCACCGCCTACGCAAGCGAATTTTTTATAAAAACTCCAGAATCGCGTTTTTCTTTTGAACCAATTTTTTTTTTATCCTTATCACTAAGAAAAGATAAAAAAATTTCAGGATAACAGGCATTTTCTATAATTTCTCTTAGATCTAATCCCATAGCTGATGATAGCACTAAAATCGATATTTTTTTTTTCCTACTCACACGAGCCCATATTCTTGCTTTTCTATCAATTTCTAATTCTGATCTTCCTCCCCAATCTGATATTATTGTGCCGGTATAAACCGAAATCCCGTTATGGTCCAATTCTGACCGGTAATAAATGCCAGGGCTTTGTAGTATTTGATTGATCACAATTCTATAGATTCCATTTACTATAAAACTTCCCAGGGAATTCATTAGAGGAATGCTGCCAAGAAAAATGATTTGTTCTTGCATACGTGTAGATTGATCCTTACTTGCTTTCCAAATTAATCCTGCCAATACATAGAATTCAGAAGAATATGTGAGTGAGTCATACACAGCATCTCTTTCCTTGATCAATGGTTCTACCAATTGAGATGTTTCCACAAATAAATGAAACTGAATTTCTTGATCGAGATCTTCAATTTTTTGAAACTTAGAAAGTTCTTCGATTAAACCTTGATCAATAAACCTACAAAATCCTTCAAATTGTATCTGATTCAATCCAGGGATTGTAGTAACTCCGTCCTTTTTTCCATCTACAAGCATTTTTTTTTGTAATTCCTTTTTATTTTCTTTATTATTGATTTTATAAAACTTTACGAATCCTTCATCTAATAGCTAAGAAAATAGATGATTTATTAATGAGTTAATTTCTATTGTTTTTACTGAATCACATTAAATTGTATCAAACTCCATATCTGAACTATAAAACAGATTTAAGAATTTCATAGATCATTAAATAAATAATTTGAAAATATTTTTTTTAGTATCTTAGAAATAAAGATTTTGATTCAAATAAAAGATGCTTTCGTATACTCGTAGTTAAATTGATACGCTTAAAGGTTCCCACTTTCATCTGACTTTTCAATATAATCTTTAATGGCTCAAATAAAATAAAAAAAAAAGTGGAATAAACTCAGTCTTTTTTTAGTAGAAAAGAAAGAAACAAGTACAATCAAAAAAGTCGTTCCCCAATTTTTTTGTATCCTTTTGGCGACATGGCCGAGTGGTAAGGCAAGGGACTGCAAATCCTTTTTTCCCCAGTTCAAATCCGGGTGTCGCCTGATCTATGGATCTATAAAGAATTTCAAATATCTTATTGTTCATAGGATTCCTATAAAGGAAAATAAAAATTCCGCATACTACTAATTTGAATTTATTCTATTTAAATCCTTTTTTTCGTATTTTTTTTCGTAAACAGAAGAACCTCTATCCCGTTCTTTCCTAGCTCCTATGCTCCTATATAATCATATGGAGGATGCCAGATTAGATCGCAATGAGAATTAACGATTTTTATATTTTTGTATATTGATTGCTATTTTTCTGAAATTAGGAAAATAACGCCAGATCCTTTTGTGGTTTCGCATATTTTGCATTTTCTTTTTAGGTCATCTTCCATAATCCCTTTTTTCATTTTTTATGTGTACTCTACGCGGGGGATTCCATTATTCTTATTAATTTCTTATAATTGATGAGGAACTTAGTAAAAATAAACTAGTTATAATGATAACTAGTTATAATGATAGGAGGCATAATGAATATGGATATAATAAGTCTTGCTTGGGCTGCTTTAATGGTAGTTTTTACTTTTTCTCTTTCACTAGTAGTATGGGGAAGGAGTGGACTATAGAGGTTCTACTAAATTGAGTTTTGCGTAAATAAAAATTTATTCATTTTTTTATAAAATGTTTCAGAACATGTGAATAACCCACTCTGCTCTTTCAATCTTTAAATAAAACATATTTTTCAAACAAAAAGAAGGCTAATAGTTAATAGATAGTGTGAGTTAAAAAAAGGGAATCATCTATGGATTAATTTAGGATACTTCCTTTATTTTGTACTTTCTTAACATATTATCTATTACTATTAGTCTATTCTATGAGTATTTTATGAGTCTCGTGCTTTATTGCTAATTTGAACCAGTTCTTTTTTTTTTAATTAAAACCTTCAAAAATTTGTAATAGAATTTGTTTTGATAAGATAATCTAATGATCTAACCCAGGAGATAATTTTATTTCAAAATAGATGAAATACTAATTAATTATTTTTACTGACGGTTTTTACGTAAATGATAAGTAGAAGGGCGGTAGGAACTAAAATCAATAGGGCCGTAGCAATAAATGCAAGAATATTGACTTCCATAATCTCGTTGTTTTTTTACTTCGCAATAACTTGGGATTTAATCCCATATAAAACTTCAAGATAAAAATGAGAAGCAGTAACCTTATTTCTTTCTTCTTTGGATCCATCGGGACTGACGGGGCTCGAACCCGCAGCTTCCGCCTTGACAGGGCGGTGCTCTGACCAATTGAACTACAATCCCCGTCAATCAACTAAGGAATCCAGTCAAAATTTTTCTTTTTCTATCTATCAGATATACTTCTGAGATATTTTTCAAGGTCAGGTTCTTTTTTCTTATTTGGATTTGCGAATGATTGGGCCGAGCTGGATTTGAACCAGCGTAGACATATTGTCAACGAATTTACAGTCCGTCCCCATTAACCACTCGGGCATCGACCCAGGAAAAGCCAAATTACTACTCAATTTTGTAATTAATCCATTAAAACATTATTAATTCATTATAAGCTTCCTTTCAAAGTACCCTACCCCCAGGGGAATTCGAATCCCCGCTGCCTCCTTGAAAGAGAGATGTCCTAAACCACTAGACGATGGGGGCCCGCTTGTCCAACCAACCTCATACTATGATGTGATAGTAGGAACCTTTTTTTTAATTGTCAATAGATGTAAAAGATTTAAATATTCTAACAGATCTTTCCCTTTCTAATCAGTTATGTTTTTCAATTTTTTGATTTCCCATTCAGCAATCTTTGATTAAAACCCGAATTTGAAATCTAGTATTTTCCTATTTTTGGATAAATTTTTAAAATATGCTCCGTCCACAATGAAATTAATATTCTTCTAATAAGAAATTTCATATAAATAGACTAGCTAAAATCCAGAGATATATAAGAGAACTGGAGTATCTTTTCTGGATTTTATCAATATATTAGGAATTCAATAGAATACGCCCCTTTAACTCAGTGGTAGAGTAACACCATGGTAAGGCGTAAGTCATCGGTTCAAATCCGCTAAGGGGCTATGTAAAAGAATTGAAGTTTTTTTTTATGTAATAAGAATAATTAAATGGATAAAATCTTATTCCGATCATGAATATTATTTTATTTTTTAGATTTAAAATAAAAGTGTAACTTTTTTTTATATTCAATTATTTGAATTATACTCTATACTCAAATACTAAAGTTATAAAATCTCAAAAAAAAAAGAACTATCAATTCTGAAATCCTAAAATACTCCTATTTTCTTTTATAAAAATAAAGTAAACTATAGTGGATCTGACTCATGTAAGAATGGCTAAAGTCGCTATTATGATATTCAAATTAGATAGAGATAAAAGTGCACTAATTCATTTTAATTTTAATTCTTATTATATAAGATTAATGAAAAAAAAAATAAAATTCAGACTTATTTAGAATAATGCTTAGTGGTAGGAATAAGAATGAAAATGAGGAAATAAGTCTGAGAACATTTTTTTTTCAAAAGATGGATGGATCTATTCAATTAAATGGGTATTAGCTATTCAGAATGCAAGGAGAGGTTCTCAAAAGAAGAATCCAAGTAAGTTCATGGATTTCTCCATTCCATTTATGGACCAATCATTACCAATATTGAATATTGAAAATATTTCAAAAATAATTGGATCTTCGAAACCGATGGGAAGGGGCGGTGCAAGATAAATCATATCGCAATGATAAAAATCTTCAGATGTCCCAAAAAATGCTATGCGGTGCTCGGAAATGGTCAACGTAGTTGAATAGGAGGATAACTATGACTATAGCTCTTGGTAAATTTACCAAAGACGACAAGGATTTATTTGATAATATGGATGACTGGTTACGTAGGGATCGTTTCATTTTTGTCGGCTGGTCCGGTCTATTGCTCTTTCCTTGTGCCTATTTCGCTATAGGCGGTTGGTTCACAGGTACAACTTTTGTAACTTCATGGTATACCCATGGATTGGCTAGTTCCTATTTGGAAGGGTGTAATTTCTTAACTGCCGCAGTTTTCTACTCCTGCTAATAGTTTAGCCCATTCTTTGTTGTTACTATGGGGTCCTGAAGCGCAAGGAGATTTTACTCGTTGGTGTCAATTAGGAGGTTTGTGGACTTTTGTTGCTCTCCACGGAGCTTTCGGACTAATAGGTTTCATGTTACGCCAATTTGAGCTTGCCCGATCCGTTCAATTGCGACCTTATAACGCCATCGCATTTTCTGCTCCAATTGCTGTTTTTGTTTCTGTATTCTTGATTTATCCACTAGGTCAGTCTGGTTGGTTCTTTGCACCAAGTTTTGGTGTAGCAGCTATATTCAGATTCATCCTATTTTTTCAAGGGTTTCATAATTGGACATTGAACCCCTTTCATATGATGGGAGTTGCCGGTGTACTGGGCGCTGCCTTGCTATGTGCTATTCATGGTGCTACCGTAGAAAATACTTTATTTGAAGACGGCGATGGCGCAAATACATTTCGTGCTTTTAACCCAACTCAATCTGAAGAAACTTATTCAATGGTTACTGCTAATAGATTTTGGTCCCAAATATTCGGGGTTGCTTTTTCAAATAAACGTTGGTTACATTTCTTTATGTTATTTGTACCCGTAACCGGTTTATGGATGAGTTCTCTGGGAGTAGTTGGCCTAGCCTTGAACCTACGTGCCTATGATTTCGTTTCTCAAGAAATTAGGGCAGCAGAAGATCCCGAATTTGAAACTTTCTACACAAAAAAATATTCTATTAAATGAAGGTATTCGTGCTTGGATGGCCGCTCAAGATCAGCCTCATGAAAACCTTATATTCCCTGAGGAGGTTCTACCACGTGGAAACGCTCTTTAATCGAACTTTAGACTTTACTGGTCGGGATCAAGAAACCACAGGTTTCGCTTGGTGGGCGGGCAATGCCCCGACTTATAAATTTATCCGGTAAACTACTGGGGGCCCATGTAGCCCATGCTGGATTAATAGTCTTTTGGGCCGGAGCAATGAATTTATTTGAAGTAGCTCATTTCGGACCCGAGAAGCCTATGTATGAACAAGGATTAATTTTACTTCCACACCTAGCTACTCTAGGTTGGGGGGTAGGGCCCGTTATAGACACCTTTCCTTACTTTGTTTCTGGAGTCCTTCATTTAATTTCCTCTGCCGTATTAGGTTTTGGGCGGTATTTATCATGCACTTCTGGGACCTGAGACGCTTGAAGAATCTTTTCCTTTCTTTGGTTATGTATGGAAAGATCGAAATAAAATGACCACAATTTTAGGTATTCACTTAATCTTATTAGGTATAGGTGCTTTTCTTTTAGTGTTAAAGGCGCTTTATTTTGGAGGTGTATATGATACCTGGGCCCCAGGAGGGGGAGATGTAAGAAAAATTACCAGCTTGACCCTGAGTCCAGGTCTAATATTTGGTTATTTACTCAAATCTCCTTTTGGCGGCGACGGATGGATTGTTAGTGTAGACGATTTAGAAGATATAATCGGAGGGCATGTATGGTTAGGTTCAATTTGTATATTTGGTGGAATCTGGCATATCTTAACTAAGCCCTTTGCATGGGCCCGCCGCGCACTTGTCTGGTCTGGTGAAGCTTACTTATCTTATAGTTTAGGGGCTTT